TCATTATCTTTATTTATTTTGACTCGTTCTGACTTTTTAATAACTTCAAGAACTTTTTTTGCTCGCTTAAATTTGTGTTCATCCATGAGCTGTAATTGTAACAGGATACGTTCTGTGGATAATGCCTCACTAAGCTCAACACTTTTTTCCATCTCGTTACCTTCATCATCATCATCATCACCATCATCATCATCATCATCATCATCATCGTCTTGAGAAGTGAGAGGGAGAGCTTGTTTTTGTGGATTGTTTTCTGCTTTGGCAACAATAGGTGGTTCAGGGGTTGGGGGAAAGACTGCTGGCGAAACAATAGCTGATGTTGTTGTTGTTCTTGCTGATTCATTTAGTGGTCTCAAACGGTTCAAATATGATAGTTGCGGTTTCTTGTGTTTAATTGAGTTGTCAAGCAAAATATTTGCTGCATGTGGTTGATCTCTGATGTACATATGCTTTGGAATTAGAACAAATTCTTCTGCTGCCATTTCTATGCAGTCAAATACTTGAAGCAAAAATAAAGTATTTGTCTGATTAGATAAAATCCTTGTTTGCTCAGTATAATAGCTCGTTTTTTTTCAGGACTCGTTTTCGGATTGATTAAAATTTTGTATGCTGTTTCGAATTTATTGAGGTTTGGGATACTGACAGGCACATTTCCGTTGACTACATTGAGCAAGCATTCACAAACAACTGATATGATTTGACTATTTGATGTTTTTTTTCTAATGAAGCCTCGTAGTTGAGTTGGGTTCAACTGCACCATGTGCTGCAGAAAAAATAACTTTTTCGCGTTCATTTGTGATGGGTGTCACTTCAGCTTTATCTAAAGGTAAATAGAAAATTGACGGACCAGGTGGTATTATGTTTGAACAGTATCTGAGACAGTCTGATGTTCGGGGATCTAAATGTATTAATAGATGTCCGAAGCTGTCCTTTGTAGCCAGTTCATACGATTGACGTAAGAATTTAGGTGCATTAAGTTGCCTTCCGAGATGATCAAGTTGCTGAATATCACGAGGTGATTTGAATAAAATGATGTGAGATGTGTTCAAATCAATAGTTCGGGACCATCGGCTTTGTTGGAATAAATTATGTTTAACATAAATAACATCTAAGCCCCTGTGTCTTCCTGCTGTTGCTAATTTAACGAATTCTTTATCATTGTATATTTCTTCGCATGAGTCATCAAACACTAACAGAATGTTTTCAATGTTTCTCAAACGATCGAATCCGTCAAATTTTACAAATTCAATATGAATTCTGCGAGCGTTTAACTCGTCCATCACTACAGGTTGAATATCTTTGTAAAAAAATAACACTCTTTCAAATTTGGGATAAAATGATTTTCCTGTCAATAGCTTGAAAATCAACTCTGTTTTTCCGGATCCTGACGGTCCTACAACTGCCATAAACAGTCTTGTCGACGTATCAATAATTTTATTCATATCCTTGGGTTTGGTAGCACGTACCCAACTAAACCAGACAATATTGAAAACCAAACTGACGTTTCTTCACAGCTTATTTGCGTCCAAGAAAGTTTATAGATGCAAAAAGTAAGTAAAATGAAAATTAAAATCACTTGAGACATAAAAACTACTTCTGATCTGGGGACTGTAACATCATTACAAAACTTCCAAGATTTTTGTTCAGTGTTTGTTTGATCATAAGCAAAATCTGTAACTATAGTAGCATCAGGCTCATCAATAGCTAATTCATTCATTCAGTTGTTCGATTTATATTTCTCTCTCTAACTGATTCTTTCTAACTCCTCTCTATCTATAACACTAGTTTCTTAATGAGAATGAAAAAATGTGTTCTTGTCATAAAATATGTATTATCTATACTTCAGAACAATAAAAAATCTCGTATCGAGTATAACTTCTAGAGTCATTAGTTATGTCATTGTCATTGTCATGCAGCATTTCCACAACATAATTGGCTGGCACATATTCAGTTTTTGCATGAAATACAACTTTCTTTACAGAGTTCTCTTTTACTAGTTTCTGAACTTCCTCAGGTAGGTCACTGCTTTGAAGATCCATTTGAACTCCAGGTTGACGTTTGGGCACTAAGACTAGCCTGGGAAGACATACTCCTCGTTTGTTGGCCAACATTTTGACTAAACTTGTGTCGTTGAAAATAGATGAATTGGTCAATCACTGGGAAAAAATTTCTTAAAATAGTCAATTCGTCTCCTGAGAGAGTAATTTGTCTTTTCCGCTGCACAACTTGACCTCGGCAATTGATTTGTTCTGTTCTGGTCAAAGTTACTTTGATATCACTCTCTGGTGTCATCCAAGCCAAGAACACTAAATTTGGAGATAGGTACGTCTCCGCTTTTGCTAGTCTTTCGTTGTTGCTCATTTGTCAGCCAATCAAAAAAAACCTTCGTTTTTTTCAGGGAACAGTGATTCCTAGAGTTATAATTAGGTTGTAAATGTCTATTGCAAGATGGATAATTCTTTAAATGTAAGTTTTCAATTCTCGGGCAACCCAATTCATCAAGATTCACAACTTCTCGATCCAAGTACTTTGCAAGGAGTTCAGCCTTCTCTTTTCCTTTGGCGTAAAATACAGCGTTAGGATTTCTCAAAACAAAACTTTGAATAATCTGATTTAGGTTTAAATATAAATAATCTCCGCTTTCCCAGTGAATTCCGTGCAAGTATTGTGTTAACCAGTTGTACGCTTTTTGTTCAGCTTTGGGTAGTGAGTTGAAAGGGACTGGAGGTAGAAAAATAAGAGAGTCACTATATTCAGAAGTCGTAATGGCTATTTCTTTAACTATAAAGGTACTTTTTTTATAGCGAAATCCTTCCAAATCTATGACGACTGATCGTTCGCTCAACATTGGTCTGGTTAGTTTGACGAATCAACAGAAAGTAATACCGCTCAAATGACCAATCAGACTGCTGTTACACTTCCAGGGTAACATATAGCAGTAAGTGGGACCCGTGTTGTAAACTTCGTCAACAAAACCTGCAGCGTCATGTAAAATTGCATGCAGACGTAATATTTTTGAATCTTTTAAATATTTGTCCAAGGAAGAGTCGTCTATGCCAATAAGACCTCCATATGGTCTAAGTTTAATAGCTACGTCATAATTTAATTCGTTTTCACTGGAAAAGAAAAACAGAGAACATGCAGCCAGAAAATAATTCCGACGGTCAGAATTTTCCGGATAGGTTTTTTTCACAGTCAAATAAATCTCATGAATGATTTACAAGTCTGTTGAGGTAACTCTACGTTTTTCCAATTTCATTTTTTTTCCAACACTCTTTGAACCTGCTGAATTTCAAAAAAGTGGAAATAAAAGTAATCGTTTAGATGCCAACAGCTGATATCTACAACTCGGTGATATACATTGAATTAGTCCATCAGCCTTTTTCATATATTTTTAACATTTTAGTAAACATAAATTTTCAGTCTGCGCTTTATCTTTTCTTACAATCAGCTAGTGACAAAGTCAAACAAGAAGACAAATCTATTCAATTTCAAAAGTAGTATTCGACAAATCAAATGTTTTTACCAGTTTTTGTTTCCAAATCAAACTCAAAATTTCTAAACTGGTTGAAAATAACACGCAGCTAAAAGTACAATTTATTCTGTCTGTGTTTTCGTGATAAGCGTATTTTAAACTCGGGGAAAATTTAGAGAAAGTTTAGCACAATTCACCTTCCGAAACCTACTGTTCCAAAATTTTTTATTTGATGAACAATTTCATGTGATTTAAAATGTTAATTTGCTTGTTTTAGATGCCATCATACCTCGAAACAGTAAAAATCCCTTTCGGCGGTTTAGAGCTGATTAACATTCCTGTGGAGGAAATTCACGTCAGATATAAGGCTGGGCCCGATCCTGAGGTGTTAGTGGTGAAGGAGCTCTGGGTCAAGCCACGCCAGTGGGCCAAGGGGAAACCCCTTCCCCGGACTTACGTCCCTGGGTCGCCCGAGTGGGAACTCCTCTCTGAGCAACTCAGGGACGTGGTCGCCCTCGGGGGTTGGATTGCCTACAGGGCTTCTGATCTGCTGGTGCTGATGGACAGCCCAGCCGCCTCTATTTATTCTTACCTCTTCCAATAAAGAAGAGGTTTTTTTTTCTTTTTTACCAAATTTTATTTTTTTAGTCCCCTTCCTCAACATCCCCCTTTCTTTATTATTTGTTTATTATTATTATTAATATTACCACCAATCCTTCGACGAGCTCAACTTTCGGGTAAGTCATTCTTATTTTGTTCAAATAGATCATTCATTTTGCCCAAATAGAGGTGGTGGCCGCCGCACTTGACGAATTTCCTTTCTTCGAGATTCAGCAATAAAACATGCATTTTTGAAGGAAATCGTTCACCGCAGCCAACAGTTAAGCTACGCTGCCAAAATATTGGCTTTCCTATATACCATAAAGTTTGGTTGCATAAAATAGGTATATAACGTCATTTTACATGTAAACAAGCCAATACCCCCAAACTTTAGAAGGGAAAACATGCACCAACCAAAACTTAATTCCTTTCCCGTTTCCATAAAGTGGCTGGAAAATTACCAATTTTAACCCCCCTTAAAACATGCGTGCCTGAAAAAGTAGGGGCTTTAACCCCTTTGGGGGTTAAAAGTGGTAAGTACAACGGCACACTGAATTTTGGGGGGGGGGGGGGGGTTAAAAGTCGTCATTTTCCTAGCCACTTTTACTATACTACTGAAATAAGAAAAGAATTACGTTTTTTGTGACATTTACACTTTTGCTGTTCGATAGTGGAGTCTACCTTCCGTTTAACAAAAGAAATGAACTGAGTCAACCGCAAAAAAAAAAAGAAATTTTGAGCCTGAACAAAATTTTAAATTTTCCTGAAAAAAAAACGAAAAAAAAAAATCACCACGACCTATAAAAGAGCTGAAATACGCCCTTCAACTCATAAAAACTCTTTAGCAAAACATTTTATCTTTTGCGGATTAAGACAAATAAATCAAAAACTAAAAAAACTCAAACTTTTCAAGAAAAATGAAAACCTTGAGACTGAACATATGCAGTGTCTCTACGCAGAGAGCTTTGTGGTATTCAGTCTGCATAACTAGTTCGCCCACTCCTAGTTTGCCACAAGCTGTGCTGCCCATCATGTACAGATTGCCTCCAGCTGTGATCACTCCCAGATGGTCCGAGGACGCACACAATCTTCGTTTCCTAATATTAAAGCATAAAACATACTCGCATTTCATCGAGTTATAAAAAAAATAAGCGGCAAGACATCAACAGAAGGCCTATAAAAATCAACAGAATTAATCACGTTTTCCTAACGTATTTGAAACATATTTTTGTTTAAACGAAAATCGTACTTGATACGTCTTGTTTGAAACGTAAATATCCAAATTTTGCATCGTAATGATTCTCAAAATGTGGCACTCACGTCTAGGTAATATCTTACATCGGTTTCTGAACAGGCGCAACAAAATCCAGAGTGGCCGATCTGGAAGCCTGTCTCCCTTTCGCCCCATTAGCTGAATCTAGGAAATCTTCATTGCCCAGTGCAGGCGACACATGATGCAAGTACTCTGATCTGAACTCAACCTCACTTGACCCCTCTTCTGTCGATGACTGTCTCAGCTGTCGCATCATGAGGAGTGCTTTGATGAAGACTCCACAAGCATCTTTTATGAGATCCGCTTGAACCTGAAAACTTTCTACACTTCATCTTTTTTTCAGCTGTAACTTAACATTACAGAGCCTTCAGGCGGGTACGTTTCCGCAGAAATTCTTCGAGTAAATAGTTCAAAATTTTCAAGCAATCATCAATATTGGTTTTAAGACTCTCCGCTTTCTTCACTTGAATGGTTAAAGTAGTATAGCGAGAGCCACGTGGAACAGCAAAGTATTTCACATAATCTAGTTCCTCGGTAAAAAATTATGTAATAAATAATTCCTGATTTCTAGCCTTTTTCTGCCACATGTCCTTGTCGATAGACTGGTGGCTTCCGCTCATGATCCCGCCACCCGCAGTAGACATGAGTGTCTCCTCCACAGTCGCCATCTCATTCATAGTCGCATCCAAGTCCACATAATGTTTGTTAGTCTTGGCTAGCTCTCCTATAGCCAGTATCGTGTCCTCTCTGCTAGGGTTGAACAATGTCGCTATTCTAAAAAAAAGAAGAACTAAGATGCACTCTAGACAGAAATCTGCCTAGTTTTTTAAAAGAGTTTCAGCTTGAACAGAATGAATTGCTCAAACCTCAAACTTAAGTTTTGAGCAAACAAGAGGCTGCTTCTATGTAGAATCTTGAAAAAGCGGCTTTTTTAAAGTGACACCAATCACAATCACTCCGGAAACCTTATATTTTGCAATGAACAGATAGTGTTACATTTAGAACGTTTTATCTTTGAAACCTTCCGAAGCCCAAAAACATCACAACCCACCTGAAACAGTCGTAATAACACACCGCGTCCTGGTGCATTCCAGCCAACACGTGATTTCTACACGCAAGAGCCAACTTCACATTAGATCCTATAGCTTCGAGCAGCAAAGACAGCGTTAACTGATTCAGAAACAGACCGTCGTCATAATTCAAATAGTCTTCAATTAGTCCGTTAATCGCAAAAGCCGAAACGCATTCTTGAGACACCGAAAGGCCGTCATGATTGGCCAGCATGCTTAGACTTAAATCGACGAGACCACGTTGTGACGCCACTTGGCCGAAAAGAGAATACATTTCATTTTCGAGCAGAAGCCGCAGAACTATTTCTTCTGTGTAGTTGAAATTGTCGCGCAGGATGTCGGAGAGTTCGGCCGTGTATTCGGAGGCCTTGATCGCTGAGACGGTGACAATCTGTTGAATGTAGCAGTTGATTATGATTTCAGCGAACAATTTCGACTCCTTTTCTAAATTAAAAAAAAAACTTTTTTGATACAAGCAAGACGCTTTTTTAATTTCAATAAATAGTTTTAATTTTCAGCGTAAACCTACATAATAACTTTAATGGAAACTATTGCTGTTTTATGTTTTAAGTACTCGAGATCTTATAAGAAAAATTTAGCCCTGAGAAACTCTCAACTATGACCAGAGTTCATAGGCGAAAGCCAGAAATTAGATTTCACCTGGATACTCATCGTCCAAAAACAGCTGCCTAAAATAGTCGAAAGTCGCATCCAGAGCTCCATGTTCCCAAAACATATCCATTTGCATGAAAAGAGGTGTATCTGCAGTCGCGAAAACCCTCAACGCGTAATCATAATTGCGTCTCTTCACCATTTCAGCTGCTAGGAAATTACAAATCGGCTTCAAATTGTTCACGCGAAGAGCGATGCAAATGTCAATCATATCTTCTAGTTTCTGGTTGCATCCAAAGCGAAGTGCAATTTGTTCAGGCGTTTTGTCTTGGAAGATAACATGAACGGACTGATTTGTGACGATGAGAAATGTGCTTAGGGGGTCCACTTGGTCAGCTGGGTCGTTGCTTATAAGAGACGAACTGCGACTGAAAAACGCGAATACATTAATGCTGTATCTTAAGTTACTGATTGCAATTGACTTTTTTTACATCAAATCGCGAGTAGAGCATTAATTTCAGATCTTTATGATTTTCACTTCGATCGGCCAATAAAAATTTCGAACTCAATTTTTACCACCAACGCTTGGAAATCACCTAAATTCTAATGCATTACAAACCTAAACGGCGTACATAACTACACAGCACAAGTACGATATATAGCGAAAACTGAAACGGAGTTAACTAACTTCCTATCAGATTCTCCTATTTGCCACTGGAATCCCAATTGGTAAACATCCACCAAATTATCCCCGGGCGTCAATTTGATCACCTTCTTCAAAAGGGAACTCCTCTCATCGGAGCCCAGAAACTTCCGGAAATGGATCTCGATTTCACTTTCCGAATCATCATCATGATTGTTTTTTGTAAGTGGCATTAAACTCGAGCTGGTTGTTAGCTGAACTATTACAAAAAACTCCTGAACAAACAATTGTCTCACACTCCTGGTCGGAAGTTTCAACGAGCTATCAGAGAATTCCTGCTGAGTAAGAAGCTTCAGCGAGTGGCGTAAGCAATGATTAGGATCCAGGACAGTGGTGAAAAGACGCAGTTCTTGTTTTTTGAGAGCAGTGATTATTTTCGCCTTAGGTGCACCTGAATTGGCCCAGCGTAAATTGAATTCATCGAACTGTTGATAATATGCTGAAAAAAAAATTAAAGCCTCAGGGTAAAAAACAAGGAAATTCTGCTAACCAACAATGAGTTCGGTTAAAAAAGGAAATATGAAAAAGGAAAGAGTTATACCTTGAAGCTAAATTATTTAAAAAAACTAAATTGGGTGTTGGGCTAGAAGCAAAGATGGACAGCAAAACTCATTAAAGACAAGAAAATTGCTTTATAGGTTAGCCACTTGTAACTCTCTAATGATTCAAACTCACTTGGTTTGATAGAAATCAACTGCGCGACAGGTCCAGTTGCACTCTTCGAGGTAGACGAGTTCTTCTTCTTATTTTTGAATTTCGATCTCTTAGCTCGCACATCCACCTCTTTATTGGACCTAATGGTTCTGTATGATGCACTCATTGCCTCTACGCTACCTGCAACACAAATATTCATTCACAAACTGAGGCGAAGCCTAGCTACACATCACTGGCAATACAACACATATATTGCATGACATGGCAAGATTGCCAACTGCAGATATGATAAAAAAAAGAACAAAATGTCGCGTAAAATCCAAAATGCAAGAAAAAAAACCCCCCTAAAACAACTCACAAGAAAAAAAACTAATTCGCTCATCTAACGAGGCAATATGATGTCACCAAACCGAACAAATATTAACCAAAAAAAACTTTTAAGCCGTGTAAAAAAAACGAAAAAAAAACAACACATAAAAAACAAACTTCGAACAGAACGGGTATTTGAAATGCAACCATGCTCAAAATATCTCTGTTGGGAGACAAAATAACAGAAGAACAAAATTAGCTGATCAAATGATTCAATGATTTTGTATATATCCCGCTTTGATAACGCTGGCTAATCGCAACCGTAATAAAGCCAAAAGTAAGCAAAGAGACGGAGCGGAGCTAATCATCATTTGCTAAGCAAAAGTATAGGCCAATACTTCCATTTAACCAGAGGCGAAGCTGAGCTTCACGCCACTTGCGATATAAAAGTGAATGACTATGAAACATAGCCATCTGAGAGTTGGAAAAGAGCAATGAACGCAAGGAAATAGAAAAAAAACTTCAAATTTCGAATTTAAGGGAAAAAATATATGCCCTTAAAACTCTTAGAATTTCAAGAACAATTTATGATTGATGCTTTTTTTGATAAAAATAATCCAATTAGAGAAAAATGGATCAATAAATTTTTTAAATCCGCTGGGAAACCTGATTAATAAATTCCATTTTCGAAACTAGACGTCGATAACGTTTTTCGTGACCTTTGCATTTTTACTGTTCAATAGTGGCGTTTGCCTTCCGTTTAAGATAGAAAATAAACAGAATTTAACAAGAAATCCCATGTCAAACTGCAAAAAAATCAGAACTGAGCGTGAACAAATTTTCAGACTTTTTCGTAAAAAACACAAAAAATCACCAAGACCTATATAAGAGTACTCACTATGTTCATAACTTTATTCGAAGCAAATGAAATGAAAAATCAAAAATTGGAAAAAACCTTCAAAAAATTGTTCTTGTCAAACACAACAAAAACCGCAATAGAAGCTGAAAAAAATTTGGAACCAAATAACCTGCATCATTAGAAACGTTACAGGAAGGTTTCCGAATGCTAGAAAGGAGCCAAACCTTCAAAACACCTTTCTGTGGGAACTGAGCCGACAAAAACAAACAGAGACAATAATCAAATTGCCGAAAGATTTCAGCCTAAAAAAACAGCTTCCAAAAGAAATTGAACTCCCGGACTTCGCGGTCTCAAGCATGGTATTGCAGCAATTTGAAGGAAAGCGTCTTAACCTTCAAAATTAGTCAGGCTACGAAATAAACCGATAAAAATAAACAGAGGGACAATAGTCCGAAAAAGAACAAAATATGAAGCATACGAAAAAGCAGGTCGCGGTCGGATTCGAACCACAACCCTTTTTCCCGGCCGGATTCGAACCACAAACCTTTGTAGTCTCAAGCAGGTGTGTTACTTCTACGTTACATGCAATGAGTGGTTGGTTGATTGAAAACTTACATAGAGGCGAAGCTGAGCTTCGCACCACTTGCGATACATGCCACCAAAAAACTACATATGAAATTTTCAAATGTGGCAGAAAACAACAGCCAGTATTGAGCTAGCTTGAAAAATTTCGACTTGCGCTACGAATTGCGCTACAATATAGTAAATGAAATGAAAATTTTTCATTTAAAATCAAGTTGAAAAATTACTCCGAAAAGTTTGGAAAATTACAGCTACAAAAACTTCATGGTATCGAATGACGATCATAAAGAGCCTTAAAAACTATTGGGAAATCATTCGCCGAGCGGCAGCAAAGGCGACAAATTTTGTTCGAAAATGTTGAGACGAAAACAAAATTGTTGTCATAACAAATTTCATGAAGTTTTAGAACTTTTTACGACCCATGCATACTGAAGCAAATAATCCTATACGAATATATGTGGCCCTCGAATTTACGGAATGTAAGTTGACAAGGCCGAAATAACAATCTGTTCAGAAATGTCAGAAAAAAAAATTAACCAAAATCAGACTTGGTAAATTTACAATTTACTGAATTTTCAGTTATAGTAAGAAACTGTTGAAATTGGAGAAAAAACCCAGCCAATCAAACCCAACCAGATAAAAAAAATGTGCGTTTAAAAAAAACGGAAAATGAACCGACAGAAACTAGGACGAAAACCACAAACACGAAAAATTACCTAAAACCTGAAACAGTCTTAGTCTTTACCTTATTTCTACTTAGACTATGATAGTTTTATATGAATTTCAAAAATTCTAGCATGTCAGAAGAGATATTTACCGTTCCTACTAAAATGACCATTCTGTGAAAAAAGTTATTTACGCAAAAAAGTCAAGTACCCGATTGCAACACTCTTGCTTATCGCAAGGGTAAATATGAAGCAAGATGAAACACCTGCTAAATCTTGCAAAAACGTTCACGATAAAAAAATTCTTCTAATCGATTGCAACTTGCAACACCCTTGTTTATCACAAAGGTAATAACTAAATAAATTGAATTCTAGCAAAATTACAAGCACTACAATCAGAGGCGAATTAAGGGGGAAGCCTCCTATTTCAGGGATTCGACCATCTCCCTTTGGTATTATTTTATGATATCCATAGTAGGCTGAACAACGCTAAGTTTTTTAAAGGCGAATTTGGAGCCAAGTATACATAACTTGACGCAGAGCTCGCGACGAAAATACGACTGTTTGGTAAAAACCTCCTAAAGTGCCCAAAACCATTTTTGATCTTTTTCAAAAAGTTGCTTGCGGCGAAGAAAATTTTGTCAAAATAGGTTCTCTACAGTTTTCTGAGTGCGCGCGGAAAATCAATTTGATCGATATAAAAAAAGGTCGAAAAAAAAATCATTAAGGATAGCAAGTAATGAACAAAAAAACTGCATTATCACTCGCCTGCACTGCCGCTGTTGTCACTGCTCGAGTGTCTGGTCCAGGCTATCTTGGAGATTGCGGATGAGAAATTGTCTCCGAGAGAGAAGCCATACCATTGTGACTCATTATTCTTCACCACTACCTAGATAAACCAAAGCTATCAGTTCAAAAACTAAGTCAGGTTAACAAGGAAACGATAATAGAGCAAGATAAACAGATTTAAACTTGCACACTACAATAACACTTGTCATAATGCATGTCAAAATGTAGCTTTACAGAGGCCTGCTTTATAGAGGTGACGCTTGACTTATAGCCACCTCAGAATGAGAAGGACAAAAAAAGGCACAAATTCTGCAAACAACGCCGTCTATGAGTCTTTCCTGCATAAATTTAACATAGTGACGAAGCTGCGCTTGCAAACAAAGGCGACAAAACGTCAAAAAGAGCTAAAAATAACAGAAAAAGATTTTAAAAAAACCCAAAAAAAAACTGGAAAAAAATTTAAAAAAAGATCTACCAAAACTCTCAGTAAAAATGTCTCAGTAAAAGTTCATTCTAGGCAAACAAGCCAATCAAAACATTTGAATAATAGTTAAGCAAAAGGACAAAATTTGAGAAAACGACAATCTTGGAGTACACATCAGTTAGTTAGGCAACAAATTGATTTTGTAAAAAAAAAAAACTTAGACCCCTCTGAAACTGAAATGAAAAACACTTGCAAGTATAATGAAATTTGCTTACAGCATATACGCGGTTTTTTTGTTTTTTCACACTTGTTTTTTTTTCACACTTTCAGTGGTCGGAATAAAAAGCAAACTTTTGCTGTAAATCTGTGCAATCTGATTCACCAGCTTCGTTTTTTGCAAAATATTTCCCTTCAAATTATCTTTCACTCGTTTTGAAATTCATCGCAGTTGGCAGAGCATAAAATTAATGGTAAAACACAAAGCAAACATTTTTTTAAATTATTAAAACAATTAGCAGTAATAACTTAAGTCTCAAATTCTATATCAATTTTTTTTGCTGCTTTTATCTCTTAACTTACGGTGTTTAGCGTTTAAATCATCCTTTATTTACCTATTTATAATAAATCTAAATTTACCCTGATGCTGTGGGAAGGAATTTTGTTATTGGACGTTTCAGTTTTTTTTGCAAAACTAACTATCACGCATATTTGTCAGGTGGCTTTTTGTGATATATTCTAGTAAAGTTTTGGTTTCAGTCGTGATGCGACTTATGTTTAAAAAGTTTCCGAAATTATTTCTCAGTGTCGAGAACAACTGGTGTGAAAGTTAAAGCCAGAAAATCAAAAAGTAACTGTTAGTGCCAAAAAACCATTTTTGAAATTGCAATAAATTAGTTATTAGAGAAGAAAAATTCCAACAAAAGCTGAATTATTGTTTTTGTTAAGACTTTCTTGGTTGTTTGTTTTATTTTGCAAAAATCAATGTCGTTAAATAATATTTAAAAACTAATGAAGCCGTTAAGTAATATTTAAGCTAGCTTTTAGCTCCACTCCCACGCCTTGAGAAAGAACGAAATCAAAAACAGATTGAAGTGTGATCGGAACATTCAATTCTTGTTGAACAGTACTTCATTTCATAAATTGGCCAGACAAGCAAACGACCGACAATTCAATTTCTTACATACTGAACGAAATAAGGTCCGGCCGGGAATAGAACCCCAGAACTGAGGGAAAAAAGCTACTGTTACCTCTAGGCCTAGTGGGAACAACCCGGGAAGTTATTTAGGTTCAAAAATAAGCATAAGAAAAACAAGTACAACTTGAAAGAGTTGTTCACGAGAAAAGTTCCATTCCCGATTACGAGACACTTGCTCTCGCAAGTGAAAGACATTTTTTTGAAAAACTGACTTCAACGAGAATCGTACCCCCGACCTCCAGCTAGATGTAATGTTTACATAACTGTGTCATCAACTAGCCTTTTTCGAAAACTAGCCAGAAATAAACCGGATAAAACATGCAATCAAACTACTATGCTATGCAGCAAGCGCAAACGAAAAAGACCACTGATTAAGGCGAGTTCGGCTGGAAAAAAGTTCGGATTTTGAAAACTGACTTCTATCAAAATTCTTTACTAATCAGTTCGAATTCATAAACAGTTTCGAAGCAGAGCTTCATACCCCGTGTCATTCAAAAAAAAATCCGATAATCTGGAAAAACAGATACAACAATGCGGACAAACTGCTATCTATACATTTCAAAGATTTCGAAAATTTTAAACAAGCACAGCGATGCAAGCAATTTTATTTTACAAAAAAAACACAGAAAGAGATCACTGCCACAACTTCAAAACGTTTTGCAATACTGGCGAGACTCAAAATTCATGGAAAAAGAACATATGGCCGACAGACGGTTGAATCAGTTTCTAAGAACAAAAGGAAGCAGAAAAAAAGAGCGATTTATCTGATACTTTCAAGATTTTTCTAGACCATTTATCCACGGGGGAAAGGACCAACACAAGAGCTGTACTATAAAAAAGCATGTAGTTATTAAACAGGGGCACAACAGCGGTTCGCCGTGATGAGCTGTACAGCTCTTGTGTTGGTCCTTTTAGAGATGTGACCGGATCGAAACTTACCGGATTACCGGATCCGGATTGAATCCGGTAAAAAAAGAACCGGATTCCGGATTTCATTTAATTGTTTGTCAGTAATTTGAGTGCAGCTGTTGAAATAAAGTATTACTGCTACTTACTGCTATTACTCTACCAGAATTTTCCGAACAGCTTGTTTTGATTCATGATAACTTTTTACTTCTTCAATAATTTATACATTGAGTAAAATTTCTGTGTAACAGCTTGAATAAAAACAGTTGCAAACTTATTTTTTTACTGAGAATTCAACAAATTTTAGGCGAATCAAATCCGGTAAAATCCGGTTACTTTTTACCGGATTCCGGATCCGGATTGACATCCCAAAATTGCCGGATTTGCCGGATTCCGGAACCGGATTCCGGAATCCGGTACATCTCTAGGTCCTTTCCCCTGTGGATAAATGGTCTCAAGATTTTTTCAACAAAAATGGGAAAATTAAAAACAGAGGGGTAGCGGAGCTTCGGACCACTAGCGGTAGATCACTAACAACATCCATGGCAAGCTAGCAGACACAAAATGAGAGATGGCACAAAAAATCTACCAGACGCAACAGCTACTGAGTCGAGAAATACTTGAAAAACAGTTAGAAAAGCTGTCTTTCCAAGAAACAAACAAGCAAACAGAAAAATGGAGATGTGGTAATGAATTCAAGGAACCCGTACAAACTATTGATTTAACACATCCCTATTTGTACAAAAAGGATCAGGTATTTTCTTTATTCCACAGGGAAACCAATAAAAAATCCAAATCTGAAAGTTGAAGTCTATTACGTTTTTTTCGCACTATCGATAGCTTTATTATTGAAGAGTGTCATTCAAATTGAACTAAAACGCAAATCGAATGTAAGACCTCTGAAAAATAAACCATTCAAGTATTCACATGAATGGTGAATTCCCGCCCCAATATTCATAGCTCCCAAAATAAAAAATGAGTCGCAAAAGTCCCAAAATTTATCTTCTTGAATTCTGATTAGTTGAAATTTGAGCCAACGAATTTATGGATTGATTGTTACTGTTCAAGCAGCATAGACTCAAGCTGCAGAATAGTGACCGCCGCAGCCGCGCCAACGTGTTGCGAGCTTTCCAACAGAGGGTAGGACTCAATATAAAATTTAGAGCCGGTTATCGCCGCGAAGCGGCGACGCGCCTTAAACCGAGACTCGGCTAATTTAGTCTTTTGACCAATTGAAAAGATTTGGGACTTACGCGGTTGCTTTTTTATTTTGGGACCTATGGAACTGATTTTTAATTGTGGGACCAATGAATACGCACCAGTTTGAGTAATTGTTACAGGATAAAAACAGCCGTAAAATTGCTAATTGCATGCGGTTCCTGAGAATTTAGAAGAAAAGCAAAATAGAAAACCGTAAACCTACGGAATTTAGACTATAAGAACTGGGCGAACAAAATTTTTTGCTAAGATTGAAGTTACACAACACAAAAAGAGTGTCTTATCACAGAACCATTCAAATCGATTTACATTTGTTTTTAAAAAAACATCAAAGCGTTTTTTAAAAACATTAAAGTATGTACACAATTTGCACGCAGTTTGCACGGAAGTTACTGTCTAAATTCCATTTACTTTTTTGACGGGTATGAAAAAAGGTTGTCTACTTTCTGACCGCACTCCCATTTAACCATTTATCAATTGTTCTCACTGATATCAAACAATTGCTTACAATTGCTCAAACAATTGCCAAAAACTGTTACTAAGCCTACATGTTCAATTTGCCGAAAACTAAGAACTACGTTTTTGCAAGTTTTTTAATATCGAAAACAACAACTCACCTTGTTATCATGCTTGAGAAACAGCGCATCCACAAGCGTCATTCCCTTCAGGGACCCCTTCGCAATAGTCATCCTCTCCCTCAGATCCACAATGGACACTGCATGCTCCTCGTGGACAACCACCGCCAGATCACGACCTGTCACGTGGTACCACCCAATGGCCACTGTACCCACCAGTGATGAGTAGTCAGTCGGACTCCTCGACTGGGAACCCCCCGTCGGACTACCTTGCAATCCTGTTTCAAGCAGCTCGATTTCCGAGTAGTATCCCGGAATGTAGTCAATGAAAGTAGCATTTTTAGTATCCCAAGGTCCGTTAACTTGAACCTCAGCGAATAATGCTTGAGCTGGGCAGATAATAAGCTGCGAATTAATGGAACCCAAAGCACATAGACAGTACTTCCCAGAACTGCTCAGATCAAAATCGGTAACACTTAAGTTTAGAGGCACTACAAACGATTTCACCTCAAATTCCGATCCATCAACAGTGTTACGTAAGAGTGCATAAACAATGACGTTATCTGAAAGAAGCAATGCTAGAAGTCCACTCGATTCGGAGTAACAAGATTTAACTATGGACGTTTTTGCATTACTTGCAAGGAACCCTATCAGTTTCTCGCTGCTAAATAAATCGCTACAGTCCATTAAGTAAGAAAAATGTATAAAATTATATTAATTTGTGAATCATTTTAAACGTCGAGTCATTCTATGTGGTTCAAGCACAAAATCAATAGAAATCATTTACTGACGACAAATAAAACCATGTTTACAACATATTGTTGCTACTGATTCTTCATGCGGAAGCTGATCTTAAAGCAATATTGTCTACAATTAATGTAACGAAGCTAAAATTCAGGCTGTTCATTCATACCCACAAAAACTTAATGATAATTGTTCCGACTTTCGTAACGAAACTAACGGAATGTTTGTGCACGGGGTGGGTTTTTTCTTCAGACAAATTTCGACTTTTTAACTAGCCATTTTGGACGGATTTTTTAAAATATCAATCAAAAGGTATTGTTGTCCTGCGCTTAAATTTGAAAAAATATTTTACCTGGATCATTTTATCGTAAAGTTATCGGGGTTTAAAGATTGCTATTTTGGCCACTTTGGGACCATCAACGAGCGATATAATTCAAGCTATTAACGCGTAAGCGGAGATTTAATCCGTCTTAGAAAGAAATCGTTCCACATTGGTTGAAGCAAGCTTATTTGCCATAATTGATCTGTTAGTAGGAGCGAAATCTATCATTTTGTACTTTGTAGTGCGTGGGGGGCTGAAAACTGTTTTAAAATTTTTTTTTTACTACATTTAATTTTTTCCTGTTATTACTGCTCCATAGACCTTAAAAGGCATTCGGAACATTCAAGGCTTCGCCTTGATACGAGCAGTCTTGTTTTATTTTCAAGCCAAAACTTAAAACCATACATTCTATGAAATTATACGTTTACAATTTAGTTCGGCTTGGGAGAATACCAAAAAGGCATCAGCCTGCCCGGTGGCATCTCCATGAGCAAAATCTATAGCCTGCTTTTTTAAACTGAAATCAAATAGACATACTCAAAAGGACCGCAAAAATTCTTAAATATCAAAATCTTAAAAAAACCTGAGAACTAACAAAAAATCCTTTATTTAGGTGTTGTCCAGCAATCAAAATCAGATGACCAGAAAAACTATAATAAAGGGATGGGAATTTACCATAACATACTTTAAAAAAGTTCTGAATGTGATCGAACTTTCTGTGCTACTTGCAGAGCAACCAACTACTCTTTTCATCAACAATTGCCTCAATACATTGCAGATATATAAGCATAAACCAAAAACTCGAAAAAATTAAATTTCGATAGACCCGTTTCTCTCAATAACTGAGCAGGTAGATGCCTGACTAGGAGGCTAAATGGATATTCTTGAGCGCGTTTGGCTTTTTTTCAAGAACTCACAATACATAACAAAGCAGTCGGGGAAATTTGTTCACCCTAGAGAATCATCCTTGTCACTAAAACTGAGGCACAAGAATAAACTACTTTTTTTCGTTTGTTGAAGAAAATTTATTACCGTAAGACTCTTTCTACTTCAAGAATCTTTGACACTTCTGAAAAACTTACCCATTTAGAGAAATAGCGATTATTTGGTATTTTAATTCGCTGTTTCTTCTCAAAAGTATTTTTTCAAAATAGAAGTAGAGCGAAAAGTGCTGCGCCGTTTCCATTTTTTCCACCCTCAACTCTGCTACGAAAAAGACATCAAAAAGGACTGAAGATCCATAAACAATTAATTACTAAAGCGTCCGACTTGATATACTCAAGAAAAACAGCCGATAAGAAATGAAGAGAAACAGTGCAATTATAAAAAGTGAAAAAAAACCAATAAAAGAACTACTACATGAAAAAACATGTTGGATACTCTAATATTCCAACACAAGCAAAGGGTACCAGAAACTGCTGCTATACTAAAAATCCCAACGATAATCTACACAGAAGTAAAAACAGAGTCGAAGCGCAGCTTCGCATCACTTGCGATACAACGCAAGCCTCGCATTGCAAGCTAGTGAATAGAAAATGAGACGGAAACCGAAAAAAAAACATATATATTTGAGAAAAAATAAGACTTTTTTTTTGAGAAAAAAAATTATGCAATTTCAGCAAAAAAGTCAAAAGCACAACCGCCATTATGAAATAGACTTTCATTACCATTTAAAGAGTGGCCACTAAATCGACGATACTAAATCGACCATTGAGCCGAAAAACTTTTGAATCTATAATATATTAAACAAATGTCCCGACAAAATTAACGTTACAGCTATTTCTACGCGGAATCCACGGAATTTTTGTAAGCGGAATTTTTGGAATCCACTTACATTTTAGATTAATTATGTTTAAAGATTTGTCTCTGGAATCCAGGAACATACAGACACAAAACTGTGCGCCAATCCAGTGCACAGTTTGGCCTCCTTATGCATATTTTATTCATAAACCGAGTCGGTTAAAGGACTGCTGTCAAATATTGCAAGAAAAACAGTACGTACGACTGTCAATACTTGTAAGAAATGTTCCAGTTAAAAAAATACATAATTTGGAAAACAAGTTGATACTTTTAGTATCATTATAGTAGCGGCCACTAAAGCAACGATACTAAAGTCAATACTAGGAGTAATTGAGCCAATAAAGCATGAGTCGAAAAAATTCAATCGATTTAACAATTAAAAAACTTATTCAAAAACCGAGCCAGTGAAGGACGATTGTCCTTTATCGCAAGAAAATAGCACGAATGTCAATTATTGCAAAAAACATTCAAATTAGAAAAAATCTATGTTTTGGAAATTAAGCCGACCAAAACTAAGCAGACAAACGAAAGTCCGACAGTTCAATTTTTCGCGGAAAAGACACATTTTAATTATATACAAATTGTTAACAACAAGGGCCGTCGGCAATTGAACATCAGACCTTAGGGTGCAAAGGCAACCGCGTTTGTCCTAGACCAAGTGGAAAGCAGCCAGGAAGCTCTTGAGGTTCAATAATAAAGCAAGTTCAATTATTTAGTTTTGAACGTAAAGTTTTTGACGGGGAAAGTCTAAATCCCGGTTACAAAGCACCTGATTTCGCATGTGTATTAACTTCGAAAAAGGTAATTTTACCTGTTTATGGAGGAATAAATCAATAATGCACCCAATTTAGGTAACCAGACATTGTACACACAGAACCTTTCTGTCAGACACAAAAAAATAGGTAATTAAATACTTCCACCAGAGCATCCACGATTGCAAATCATTTCGCGCAAATTCTTTTAAAATACGTTACTTAGTTCTTCAAAGTTATTCAGCTCTAATCAACCACAGTGGTACTACTTTCGCAAATCGGAGACTAGAAAAAACAGCTTGATTTATTTAAAGGTTATTAAAAAAGTTACGTACAGTTCTATTATGTAAGCATTTTTTCAAAGCAGTGTATTGCTTGATTCAACGAAACCCAAAACTGATATCAGCTCAAATCTTAGTTTTATATTTGAGAAAGCAATTCAAACAATACATCGATTGGTCCGATGCTGCAAATTGTAAAGTTGGCGCCAAAAATACTTTGAAGCCATAAGAGCCAATTGATGCGAAAAACAGATTGAAACAATTGGCGATATCACTTGGAAGGCAATTCAGTATCGCCAAGCAAAAGGACAATACTTTCGTTCAATGTAGTGTGACGCACTACTTCAATTCACTATTTGTAAAGCTATCTTAAGTTTCCAGTACAGCTTTGCAAACTTACAAAATTGGTGTCTGTTCTAAGTTTTGTCGAGATTTGAACAATCTATGAGGCATGTCTTCTTTTTACAACTTCTTCAAGGCGTGCGCTCTTCCACGCTAATTTTTATACAGTTCTGATTTAAATTATCCTGTCAAAATGAAGCATATTGGAATCTTTCAACGCGTTACTCTCAAATTGGCTGGAGATTAAGCAAAAAGTAAAGAGAACAGAAGTTGCTTTAAATTTTACGAAAACTATCATGGTGCAATTTGTTTTGCAAAATTCGGAACCAAAATTCTACCCCAAAAAAGGGTCATTTTGGCTTTTCTTAATTTATTAAAATCAACGCAACAACTTTTGGCTTTTCTTAGTTTATTAAAATCAACGCAACACCTATGGCTTAATTGATGGAATCATTATATCAAAAAAAAGCCTCATACACAACCCATAAAGTTCTAGAAATATAAAATCTCCAAAATCTGTATAAAAAAACCTATTTTTGCTTAACCGCCAAAAAATGTCATTTTTATAATATAAAAATTCAACACCTTCGTTTTGAATCAATTTTAAGCGTTTTTCTCAAATTTTGGAGATTTTACTTTTCCAGAACTTTGTTGGGCTGTGTAAAAGGCTTCTAATGATATCAATTAAGTCGGTAGTTTTAGCGTTATTTTTGATTTATTAAAACAAGCCAAAATGGCCCTTTTTTGGGGTAAAATTTTTCCGAATTTTGAAAAACTAAATTTTACCAGAAATTACTACTTTTGTTCGCTTTACTTTTTGCTTAATCTCGACCCAATTTGAGAAGAACACGTTGAAAGTTTCCAATGTTGTGGGTTTTGTCCGGATAATTTTAACCAGCACTGTATAGTTTAGCAAACTTATTTTTGATGCACCTATCATTACTGATATCAAATTTCGATTTCCATAATGAAACAAAACGTGAAGTCTTGACTTGGTAATAGTATCAATAACAGCATCTGCTCCAAAATAAATTCCATTATCATCAATAAAATATCGTTCAAAAATTTTTCTAAATAGGAGTAGACTTCTTTCACCATAAAAAAACAAGACTACTCGTATCAGGGCGAAACTCTGAATGTTCCGACTGCCTTTTAAGGTTTATGGAGCAGTAGTAACATTAAAAAAATTAAATGTAATGAAATAAAATGAAAAAAAACATATATTTTTCTAAAATTTGAATTTTTTTTTTTATGAAATCATCACCCCACACGCCATATAAAGTACACAAGAATAGAATTCGCTCATTGTAACAAATCAATTATGTCAAATAAGCTTCTTTCAACCAATTTCGAACAATTTCTAAGACGGATTAAATCTCCGCTTACGCGTTAATAGCACGAAATATATCGCGCGTTAATTGTCCCAAATTGGCCAAAATGGTAATCTTTAAGCCCCCATAACTTTACGAAAAATGATCACAGGTGAAAAATCTTTTCAAATTTAAGCTCAAGACAACAATACCTTTTGAATGATATCAAAAAAATCCA